TCATTTATGCCTGACAATGGTTGAGCAATTTTTGACGAATGAAAACATGATATTATATGTAGTATCTATCACATTTTGCCCTCAGAGTCCCTATGTGCCACAGATCTGATTTAGCTTGGTATTCCTTGAGTTCCATCTTATACGACACACTCCAGCAAGTATCCGAATCGGCTTGGGATTATTCAGCGTTGTCATTTCCTCAGTGCTCTGGGCAGAAAAACACCAATATCCTAAATTTGTGCAAGAATCATCTTGAGAGCAAAAGGCTGGATCTTGAGTTTTCTTGATTCCCAAAACTCTTGAAGCCATGGCACCAAACCTAACCACTTACCGCTTGAGAGGCCATCATTTCATTTATACTCTGTTCATACTGCTCTGCCAAAATGGCAAGTTTTCTTGTCTGCTCATCTTTCAATGTCTTTAAGATTGTTTTGTGCTCATTCTTTGGAGTAACTTCCAACTGGTGATTCTTGAGTGCTTTATACTGTTTGGTCTGTACTTTGCAAGTGTCCTGAAACTGTTTTTTAATTTGCATTTCCATGGCCTGTGTGATAAAGTGACAAAAAGAAAATAAAGACACATCAGTAAATACAGGAAGTCTTCCATTGTAATGATAAAATACAGGTGCTGGGACCATCTGTCTTTTTGTACAGTGACCCACACCACAATAACAAATAATACATATGACACAGCAAGAGTTAACTCTATCAATACTTTTGGTTTTATATTAAACTAGAAGCTGGTTTACAAATTCATGCACTAACTAGGGTCTCTTGGCCTGGCCTGTGGGATTGGGCTGAAACTGGCTCTCCAACATCCCCTCAGAGGTCCTAAATTGCAAGAGGGTGCTTACCAGGCCAAGGGACCCCATCAGTGTATGATAAGAGGCCAGGGATGACCGTGGGAGGGCTTCAGGGTGTGTCCAGCCCATCTCACTCAGTCCTGATTGGCCAGATCCAAGCATAAAACTAACCTACTAGTTGGAGATTCTGCCCCCTGATGGTCAGTGTATGTCATAGCAAGCGGTTGAGTGACCTTAGCATATCATTAGCATATTATATTTTGATTAGTTGAACGGCCAACAGGTCGACTAGACACTTAGCATATTAGGCTTTTATTATATAGGATAAATAGAAATAATTTTTAATTTATGAATGGATGAAAATATGAATTGTTATAAGGGAATTACAATTCTAAGCTGATTGTAGCATACTAAACAGCTCAGTTTGTTAAAAGTTTATTATGTTAATGGTTTCCTAATCAAAATCTTTAGTGTCCTCTATTACTTGTTTTCCCCCATTTTTTGTTGTCCCCTCCTCATTTCCAAGTAAGAAAAAAAGATGACAATGTATAAGCCAGCTTTCACTGTTCTGTGTTTCCTTGACAATTACACTAAATTCAGCATAAATAAAAAGGAAAAGTGATTTTAGTATTACCCCTGCCTCCTCTTAAGAGGTTATACTGTGTGTAGCAATATCAAATATGCATTTTGGCTAGGAGAAGGTGGGGTGTATTATAAGTCCAAAGGCATTCCATCAGTTTGTCTCACAATCACATGAGTATTTCTTGAACCCCTGGAGGAGCTGTGATTACAGGGATCACTGGCTAGGATTTGGCTAGAGAGGAGCATGGCTAGAGTTATCGAGTGGTTCAAATCTGTGTCAAAACTGACAGTGTCTCCCTTGACATAGAGCAATAGTCCAGTCCAGTGGTTGGCAAACTCATTAGTCAGCAGAGCCAAATATCAACAGTACAACGATTGAAATTTCTTTTGAGAGCCGAAAACCAACTTCGAGCATGGGCCACAAAGTTTCAATTGCACTGTATCGTGCCCGCCCACACGTGGTATTTTGTGGAAGAGCCACACTCAAGGGGCCAAAGAACCACATGTGGCTTGGGAGCAGCAGTTTGCCGGCCACTGGTCTAGTCTATAGAGCCCATTTATCACTCAGCCACAATGATCTGGAGGCAGTTAGGGACAGAGGAACTGCATCTCTCCGTTGCAGACACATCTAGATTCACTGCTGATCCCCCAAATATGGCAGATGTCACTCTTTCCTAAAAGCTTGGTGTGCTTTAGCATCTTTTTCAATACAGTCCTTTTCTATTGGTAGTGCTGTTACCAATCATATGACTGGTCTGACAGATGAAACTTATCTGCCCTACACCTGTCAGGTAGCTTTCTTATTTCCTGGTTTTAGAATCATGGGTTGCTGTTGGTCCACACATTACATTTTTTTCAAAGGGCAGGTCAGGAGGCAGTCGGAGAAATTACGTAACGGATATAAACAAAAAGGGAAAGATCATCTTGTAGAGAGGTTTCCAAACCAGCCTGCCCAGCAACATCTCTTCAGGAGTTTGTTCTGTACAGAATCTTGTGCTTCACATCTGGAGAGTCTCATTCAGTAGATGCAGCGTCCAGAAATTTGTAATTTTGAAATGCCGCCCAGGTGGTTCTGACTGTCATCATCCAGGGGTAGGAGCCACTAATCCAGGCCCACTGTGTTCTGGAGCACAGACAGGGAGATTCTTCCATTTCCTCTTACCTTTAAATTTTTTGGCTGTTGCCGGAGTTCCATGACATGCTTTCTGTGCAGTTCCCTTTCCCGTCTCTTATTGTACTCCAGCTGGTTTTCCAGTTCAGTCTGGTGCTGTAGACGGATCAGATCCATGCGTAGCTTCTGTAACGTGTGCAGCTGCCGGTACTCTAGCTCTCGGGTGGACTCATCATGCCGGATCAGCATGGCGTGCTCCATTTCCTTCTGGGTCCGCTTTTTATTCAGTTCCTGCGTTCAGGAACAAAAGATAAAGGGAGAGAGATGAATGGAGACAGACTGGATGGAACTCACAACTGAATGAGGGAGGGCAAGGAACAGCACTACGAACTCTCATAATTAAACCTACTAGGGTTTGGCGGCAAAACCTAATGAGATTAGATTAACAATCCCTGGAGATTTAGGTTCTGTATGCGGGGCCACCATTTTTACAAGATGAGCAACTTCCCAGCCATCACAATTACTCTACCTGTAAAATGGGAATAATTCTATCCAAGCCCTTCTTACCTCACAGGGCTGTTGTGACCCTTAATTAGATGGTGTGACATGCACAGGTCTAAATACACGTTTCTTCAGTTAAAACAGTGGTTCTGAATCCTGACTGCCCATTAAAATTACATGAGGAAGCTTTTAAAACATAAGATGATTGAATCCCACAACCTGAAATTCAGATAATTGTCTGGGGTGGGACCATGACATCAACAGTTTTAAGGGTTCCCCAGGTGATTCTAATAGGCACTCAGAGCTGAGACTCACATAAGTAAATTGATAATGTCTGCAGTGTTCTTATGGGAAAATACCTTTTTTTCCCTGGTATGTATCAGAAGTAGGTCAATTATCTATTTTTTTTTTTTTCAATCTCAGTGTTCACTGCATGCTGAGGAAAAGCAGAGATCTTTCTCCTTTTATCTCATACATTATAGTCTGATCATTTCTAGTTCTAATCATTCTGTTCTTACCACTTCTACTCATGTCTCTCTCTTCTGTTGAAGTGGGGGAAAGAAAGGAAACTAGAAAAAAAGGAGGAATAAGTTCGGTGAAATTTTTTCATTCACCAGTTCAAGAATATTTCCTGAATAGCACTATATCAAAAATCTAAACCATGTGCACTGGGTGCATAAAAATGTTTACTAAGCCACACTGCCCTCAACTTAGGAACTGCATTAGACAGGTATGAAAGTATATGTTCAGCTCACAGCTAAATGAATCCATTTGTTTTCTCTACTAGGAATTTGAAATTGAGATTCATAAACAGTGAATCTTTACGTATAGCTAGAATGGAGGGGCATATAAAAACTACATATGTGGTAGCCATCTGCTGCTATGAAGGCTGAGTGATTAGAGAAAGCTGAGCTTCAGAGCAAAAATAAAAAAGAAAGAAGTACAGGGAATATATTGATGCCCAAGTTCCTGACTGGTTCTAAGCACTCCTGTAGGTACAGCTGTACTATTGCTATTGGGTTTTAGGAGACATTCCTATATTTCCATAGTAAATTCCCTGCTTTTGGCTTAAGCTAGCTCAAGTAAATTTTAGTAACATGTAAACCAAGAATCTTAATTCATAAAGGGAAATAAGTTTATGTATAAATTAAAAAAAAAAAAAAAGACAGAGCAAGGCTGGAAGTGCTAAGTGCTATAAAACAGGTAAAAACCTTATGCTGTGAGATTTCCGAAAAGTATAATATTACTACTACTTAAAAAGGCCAAGGGGAAAGATTTTGAGCGGGGCTTTAAGTTAGAATGATAGGTTGGCTCTCTTCTCTAATGGGATCCACTATGGAAGAAAATGCAAGTTATTTATTACATATAATTATCAGTAACATTTGCATATTTGTGTGGATGAGACTATCTTGCTACCTGGGCCTTCTATCCTGAAGAGAAGTCCTCTACACAGTATAGCCTCTATTACTGGAGCAAAGCCACTAATCAGTCATTAATGTATTATACAAGTTACCCTATGCGTCAGGCACTGTTGTAGGCACCAGGGAAAGAGCAGTGAACAAGCACACCCCCTTGTGGAGGTTATTTTCTAGTGGGGAAATACCAGAAGTGCAATTAACATTTGTTTTAAGGAATATAACATAATATCCCAGTGCATCTCCCTGTATCTCCTCCTGCTTTTACTTTTCCTTCTTTTATTTTTCCTCTTTGCCTGGGCCATCAAATGTCATCTTTTAAAAAACCACTAACTGGCCCCTAGGTGGCACTAAAGAACAGTGAGCCCTTTTCAGAGACTAAAGCTATTCCAGTCCATTGACCAAGAGAAGCCAAGGAAAGTCCTTGAAATGGGTAAATATCCTGTTCCTAAGTCACTATGTCATGTTGAACCTTTGAGTACCAGGTCTCCCAATACTGGGCACTTATATATTCCACACTTTACCAAACTGAGAAGTCCAAACTGCATCTGAGCTGCCCAGAGCTCTGAAGCCTCTGGGGGGCGGGATTAAAGATCAAAGCAAACCATACTTTCAGAAGAAATCAAATGCTTCTTCTTATGTTTAATGGAATGCTACAGGATGTTGTTCATCAGAAGTACCTGGGTTACAAGCTATTTGTCTTACCCAGCTAATTCTGACATATACTAAAGCTTGAGACAGGGTGTAAGTCACTTTCAGCTCTTCCAATGATTCATGGACAGCTCTAGGCAAGTCTCTTAATCCATGTTTTATTTTCCATAGGTATAAAGTAAGGATAACTTTTCCACCACCAACTGCCATTCTTGTGAAGATGAAAGAACTTAAGAAAATGCTTCAGAATACATAAACATGTCATTATTATTTTTCTCTATTCAGAAGTTAATGTCTTAAAACTAGTTTTTATAAACTACTAGAAAGTGAAATAAACATGATACTGAAGTAGCTTTTCTTTTATAATAGGTTGTTCCCTTTACCTTTAATTCATGCATCTGAGTTGCTGAGATATAAGATGGTAAACTGTCTATAATATTGCAAAACATGGGGGGAAACATTATCCAGTGCTGTGCCTACATAATAATGTGAAATGTGCTTTCAAGTTCTAAAAATGACTACATGTATTTTAATCCTAATTGCAGCCCTATGAGTTGTTAACATTATAAGGCTTTACCCCTCTTATACATGATAGAAAGGAATTTGGGAATTGAGAGACTAACATAAGATCATATAACTTCTATAAAGCAGAACTGAGGCTAAAAGTCAGGTTTTTAGATTTTTGACATTTTCCATTAAAAGATGTCCCAGTGAAGGCTTATATTTTTCTGTTTTATGCTTTATCAATCTGTGGTACTATATTTGGGAGAATTCCTCTATGCTAGCTAGACCAGTGTTTCCCAACCTTCTCTCATGATGAGAATCACCTGGTGGAGTTGTTAAAACACAGATTCCTGAATCCCAACTAAGAAGTGCTAAACTAGAATTTTTGGGAACATATAGGTAAAATTGTATACTTAACTAGTGCTCTAAGACAGATTTTATATACAGAGCACTAAGTTAGGTATGCAATTTTACCTATATGTTCTCAAAAATTCTAGTTTAGCACTTCTTAGTTGGGATTCAGGAATCTGTGTTTTAACAACTCCACCAGGTGATTCTCATCATGAGAGAAGGTTGGGAAACACTGAGCTAGACAACTACAATGGTTGCTTCATCGTACAAATGACATAAAGTAGAGCCATGCCATGTGCACACCTGTAGCTTATACAAATTCAACTAAGTAAGAAAAAATACAAAAACAATTGTCATGAACAGGTGATTCTGCCCACCAGTGTACTCCATGTATATGCCCTAGAACACATGTGTCAAACACAAGGCCCGCGGGCCAAATCCGTCCCGCCAGGCCTTGCAATGTGGCCCGCACCACGCCGTCATCACTGCACTCCGCTGCGTTTCCATCACAATGACAGTTTATGACTGTTCAGTAAACCATTCGGCCCGCGATTTAGGCTGGATTTTAGATTTTGGCCCCTTCTCTGATTGAGTTCGACACCCCCACCCTAGAAGAAGTGTGAAATGGGAAACATCACCTACTTTAAGCATCTCGCCAAGTTGAGTTTAAGCTTAGTATTGAAACATGTATTTTCATATACCATGGCCCCTAAGTACATCACCAAACTTTATGTGAATCTACCTCCTGTGTAAGACGTGGGTCCAGGGTGTGTTCCCTAATTAACCCTTCATAACTGTGGCCCAATCATTCTATTTTTTTAAAATTTCAGTGGAAAGTGCTATTGACTCCTTTAAAAGCAGTTGTCCTCATACCCACTGAGGTTGAGTAAGAACTAGAATTGAAAAATTTTAATAGAACCATATCTGGTTCGGCTCAATGGATAGAGCATTGGCCTGCAGACTGAAGGGTCTTTGGTTTAATTCTGGTCAAGGGCACTATCCCCAGTAGGGAAAGTGCAGGAGGCAGCCAATCAATGATTCTCTTTCATCTCTGAAATCAATAAAAATATATTTAAAAAAAAATTAAGTGGAGATGCTGTCAGCCTAAGACATTTAATGCTTTCTTAGTTTCAGTTCATAGTTTCATAACTGGTTAGAAAACAGTGGGCATCTGTGTGCAGTGATAATAATGGAAGAGGCTCAACCTAGTCTATGTTGATCTTTTAAAAATCCTACCTAATAAAAGAGTAATATGCAGACTAACCATCACTCCAATACACAAGATGGCTGCCCCCATGTGGTCAAAGATCCTGCCCCCATGTGGACACAAGATGGCCACCACAAGATGGTTAGCAGGGGAGAGCAGTTGGGAGGCACCAGGCCTGCAAGGGAGGGCAATTGAGAGGGACCAGGTCTGCAAGGGAAGGCAGTTGGAGGTGATCAACCCTGCAGGGGAGGGCAGTTAGGGGTGACCAGGCTGGCAGAGGAGTGAAGTTGGGGGCAAACATGCTGGCAGGGGAGCAGTTAGACATTAATCAGGCTGGCATGGGAGTGGTTAGGGGGTGATCAGGCTGGCAGGCAGAAATGGTTAGCAATCAGGAAGGCAGGCAGGCAAGCAGTTGGGAGCCAGCAGTCCTGGATTGTGAGAGGGATCCCAGATTGGAGAGGGTGCAGGCTCGATTGAGGGACTCATTCCCCCTAACCCCCGTGCATGAATTTCGTACACCAGGCCTCTAGTGTTTTTAATAATTAAAAGGATTGCTAATGCTCACTTTTGGCAAAGATACAGAAAACAGGTACTCTTTGTTGGTGGGAGTGCCCTTTTTGAGGGCAATTTGGCAATATCTATTTAAAAATTTACATGTGTATACTCTGACCTGAAAACTTCACTTATAAGAATGTATTGTACAAAATACTTGCATATGTGTAAAAAGATCTCTGTACAAAGATGTTCTCTGGAGTATTGTAAATAATACTGTAAAACTTCAAAATACTACTGAGAAGTACTTCATTAAATAATTTCATAGCCATACTAATGGTTGAAAAGAATGAGGCAGAGCTGCAAGTCCTAGATTGTACCATAGTAAATGAAAAAAAAAAAAGTTACTAAACAGTATAGTGGACATCTGGGGTTTCTTTGGTATGTTCAGTATCCTTTCACCTTCTTTTAAGTCTCCCCTTTTCCCAAAATGCTATTCCACCCATTGTGGAATCAAGGATTAAAAGAGTAAGCACATTACCCAATCAACTTCTCTCTCCTAGAAATCTGAATTGGAAGCAACAATGAAACAAAAATTAAACATGGTTGGAGGAGATACATTCAAAAGGCGGTGCTTTGAGCAATGTCCATTGGCATTCGCTCTCTGGATCATGAATGTTGCTTTTCCAGCTTGATTCTTTCCTCTTTTCCAGTGTGATTTTCAGCTCTGTCTTCTATCCTGTTATCCTCCAATGAATTCCTTCCCATGCTAAATCATCTGGTTTGTTTCTATTGCTTTCAAATCAAATATACCTCTGATACTAATGTAACCTTATTTTTGTAAAGTTCTATATAATATGTGAGAGTTCCATATGGTATGTAAGCTTTATGTATGTCTATATATGCACAGAAAAAAAACCTGGAAATATGTGTGCAAATTAATGGTGATTGTCTCAGGGTAGAGATTGGAAAGGATGGGAATATCAAGAACTTTCATTACTCAACTTTGTATTTTTCTGTTTTGTATTTTTTCAGTGTTGTTTGATTAGTTTGAGCACAGAAAGAAAAACTGAATATTTTTCATGAAGAAGGCCCTGGAATAAGACTAAACAAAAGAAAATCTAAATTCTTAAGAAAAATACTCTTATAGGGCTATTCTTCACACAGTTGTTTAGAACTTGATAGTAATGAAGTCCTGAATATAGTTTCTATCATTTTGTAAGAATAACTGTCTTCTATGTCTTTTATTGGTAATAACTGTCCCCTTAGCCTCAGATTTCTTCCAAATATGTGCTATTAGAATAACTAATAATTGCCAGATGAAAAGAATCCCAAACATGTTATTTTCAACTGGCTATTGGATTTTTTAATTTGGACTTTTTTGCCTTCCAACAAACTCAGCATGCCTAGTACTGCGTTAATCAGTTTCTTACCAACATCTTTCTAAACTCTCTTTCCATCCAAATCTGCATTTCCTTATAAATAACTCTGATTCTACCTTCATATTTTCTTTCATATCTTAATGTATGCCAAGTCCTGCTTATTTTATACTTCCAAATATGTTTCAAACCCACCCCACTCTCTTAAAAAAATTTTTTTTTATTGATTTCAGAGAGGGAGAGGGTGAGAGAGTGAGAACATCAATTATGAAAGGGAATCATTGATCAGCTGCCTCCTGCAGGTCCCCTATTGGGGATTGAGCCCACAACTCAGGCATGTGCCCTTGACTGGAATCGAACCCTGGACCCTTCAGTCTGCAGGCTGATGCTCTATCCACTGAGCTAAACCAGCCAGGGCCCACCTCTCTTTTGATAGTTACCCCACCATCTTTGTCTATAGCCTATTTCCTACCACCAGATCTCTTTTCTTTTCTCTAATTCAGTATTTCTCAACCCTTTCCCCCCATTCTGTCCCCATCAGAGCCTTTTTAGATTTCCCCTTCCCTGACAATCTCTACCCCTAAAACGTTAATACCATAGATTAGGGGTGTCGAACTCAATCAGAGAAGGGGCCAAAATCTAAAATCCAGCCTAAATCGAGGGCCGAATGGTTTACTGAATAGTCATAAACTGTCATTGTGATGGAAACGCAGCGGAGTGCAGTGATGACAGCGTGGTGCGGGCCACATTGCAAGGCCTGGCGGGACGGATTTGGCCCGCTGGCCTTGTGTTTGACACATGTGCCATAGATATACAGTGTATCTGTTTATGTACTGTGACCCTTCAGAGGGCCTCAAATTGTTGTAATATCTAAGACCCCTCCCCTACAGAACCATTTTCACTCCCTTCTTACCACCCCCCCCCTCTCCCAAGAACTCATGCTCTAATCAAACTGGGCTGATCTCACCATAGTAAAATTTTAGCCATATCACTGCCTGGCTCAAAAATGTTCAGCCGAAACCGGTTTGGCTCAGTAGATAGAGCATCAGTCTGTGGACTTGGGGGTCCCAAGTTTGATTCCAGTCAAGAGTATGTGCAGTGGTTGCGGACACATTTCCAGTAGGGTGTGTGCGGGAGGCAGCTGGTTGATGTTTCTCTCTCATTGATGTTTCTAGCTCTCTATCCCTCTCCCTTCCTCTCTGTAAGAAATCAATAAAATATATTGAAAAAATGTTCATCAGTTTCTCCCTCTTCCAATAAGATGAGAGGACACAGATAAAGAGCCTGGGCCTGGCTCGTAATTGTGGTCAATAAGTCTGAGTTGGCACTGCCCTTTTCCTTGCCATTTGAATACTATTGCTCTCCCAAAAGTTACACCAATTCCCATTCCCATTAAATGTACCTGAAGTGCTTTTATCCCTCATGCAGGCAAACACTGTTTTTTTGTTTTTAGCAAACTTGCTGTTTTTACCAATGTGCTAGCTCATTTGTGAGGTTTCTCTTTGATTAAACTAGGTTACAATGATTTCCTGTTGAGCTTTGCATCTGCAACTGATTCACATTCTCTATTCCTCATCTCAGTCTTTGGAGAACATCCCATTCATCCAATTTCCCAGAGTGGAAGGTTTGAAGTCATTTTTGACTCCTCCCTCTTCTAAACTTCTCACACCATTAGGTCCGAATTATTTTTAGTTCTGCTTCAGAAATGTCACTCAGATCTAATCTTCACAAACTCATATGAATCTTATAGTATTGGGCTAGGGAAGATATATGCTAATTAAAAAAAAATCTAACCTCTATCTACCTCCATTGCTTTTTCCAGGTAGGACCACAGAAGAGCATCCTAGCTGAGCTCATTGTACTTGACTTTTGTCAACTCCAGCTTACCCTCACATTGATGCACTCATTCTTCAAAATAAAGAAAACTTACCATAACTCTTCTGCTTGCAAACTTCTGGTGGCATGCAACTGCCTTCAGACTAAAATCTAAATGCTTTGGCTTAAGAAACAAGGCCCTCCACATTTTGCTTCAAGCTACTCTTGTTCTGATGCTGCAGTCCCTACACCCAGACACTAAGCATATCATCAATCACTGAATCCTACAAGCTCTTTCATGACTATATGCCCAGGATACTTCATTTACATGTCTATTACTATTATACCTAATACGTTCTATGGTAATTAGTCTGCTACATGACTGTTTCACTTCTGAGTCTTAGGGCTACTTGAAGGCAAGGAGGACAGCTTCTCGGAAGCCCTGGTGTCTCAGCCTGGCTTGGCACAGAGGAGGCACTCCATAAGTGCTGGATGACTGAATGAGTGAACTTCATTGTAGAACATTATCTTATTTTTTAAGTGTTTGATGTGGAGTCCCAAAAACACAGGTCTTTGAAAAGCAGGCTGAAAGCAAGTTATTTTACTTCTTTTGATCCTCCACTGCATAATAAAGCTTATAATGAGTGTTCAATAAAACTTTATAACATTTATTTGGAAAAAGTTGATTTCTTGTTCTGTAAATGGGCTTTCTCTTATCAGTGATAAATTCATTCCCTGGCTCTTTGTATACCTACTTTGTGTCAAGGTCCTATGCTGAAGACTAGAAAGAGCAAGGATATAGGAATGAAAAAACAGTTGTGATCCTCACAAGGCTTGCTGTCCCATAAGTAAATGACAATAGTTAGGAACATAAATACCTCCCGAATGTTCTGCTGCTCCACCTCGTGCCGCTTGATCATTATTTTCCGCTTAAAGAAACGACAGTTTTTGTCGTAGTACAGTCTCTGCTGAGTGAGAAGGTGGGCTTCCTCTTCGGCCTGTGTGTGCTGCAAGTTTTCTTTATGCTTGGATATCCGCTCCTGCTTTTCTTTCTTGGGTGTGCTATGGTCCTCATTCATCTCCTTCACAAGAAAAAAAATAAGGGGAAAACCATGCCAGTATCATTAGCCAAAGAAATTATAATAGTTTATTGCAATGGTAGATTAAATTATTTGGAAAGTAAATAAAAATGTAAACACAGGCTGACTTGATATTGCCCCCTTCTCGCAAATACATACTTTGAATATTAAGTGAGAGGAAGACTTGTTAGTTTCCAAGTCTCCAACTTCTCAACTGTCAGAAATTATTTGTTCACTCATCAATCAAATACATATTTACTGAGTTCCCATCATGTGATAGGCACTGTGCAAGGCATAAGGATACAATGGTGAACAAAAGAACATGGTAGCATCATGGAGCTTTTCAGTCTAGAATAAAATCTATACAAAGAACCCTATGAACTAAAAATGACTGGGACAAATAATTGAAGGTGAGTTCTTGGTTCTACAAGAATGATTAATAGAAACTATTGAACCTCAGTGGTAACAGCTGAGCTGAAATTTGAAAAATCATAGGCATTAATCAGTCAAAAGGAAAGGAAAGAATAATCTGGGTAGAGGAAATAGCACATGCAAAACTATTAGGGTGGGTTAACTGAAACATGGTATGTGTATGATCAAGGAACTGAAAGGCCAGAGTGTGGTGGAGTGTTACATAAGATGAGACTGGACAGACAAACGGGACTGTTAGGTTAGAGGTCTAAAAGGCTGAGTTAAGGATCTTTAGGATAGGGGAAATGGATTTTATACGGTGGTGGGAGGTTATCATAATGTTATGCATTTCAAAAAGATGACTGGCTGTTTGTAGAAAACAGAATAAAGAAGGCCAGAGTGTATACATGGGAGGCTAGTGCAAAGGTCCAGATGAGAGATGATAGTAGCTTGGACAAAGGAGGTGGGGAAAAGACCAAGTAGACAGGTTTTATATACAGGAGGTAACTCTGCAAATGTCACTCATTTGCGATTATAAGCCACCTATATTTTCAAAAGGACAAAATCATTAGTCTTTCAGCCCATAATGGTAAAGAGAAGAAAGCAGTGAATCAGAACAGTTAAGAATATGTTAATCTATGTTAATCTATGTGGAAAGTAAGATGACCACTTTTATGGAAAGCACACGGTACTCTTCTTTGTTCATACTGTTCCATCGGACAAGCTTGACCTATAACATTTGGTTAACTACTCAGTGAAATCCCCTTTAATTGCTAACACCTCTTTTATTTAAAGTTTTGTGATGCAGACATCACACACTATTTAAATTATTTTTGTGCTTAGTCAAGAGGTCCTTGTAAATCAACTTTCCTGTTCTAATGAAGTCTTAAGTGAAATGTTAGAATCAACAAGAGCATGTGCTGTTTCCAGCGTGGAGTAGGTTAGGATCACAACAGGAAAGCTGGTGACTCATTTCTTAATGCCATAACTTTACTACTAGGTTTAGCATTAACCATTATATTGAACACCCAAAATCAAATATGTTCATTAAAATTCTCTCCAAAATCATGAATAAATTATTTCTGGACCATCTATCATTTTGTATTACCCATATCTCTGCTATCAGTAGTGGGAATCATGGAGATTATTTTGTCATTTCAAGGACAGTTCCTTTAAGTATACCAATATTTAAATATACATGTCACTTTAAACAGTGTGAACCAAGCTTTACTTCATAGGGAGTAATACTAGCTTTGCACAGAAAGGCTTATGAGTGTGTTGAATGACTTGTAAGTTCAGGCCTGTAGCTTCCTGCACTCGTAAATCTGAGCATGGTGGACTCCAAACAGTCTTATGTCTGAAGACTGAGTAGGGACTCTTGAATTTTGTTCTTTGGCAGAATCTTCTAAAGGCAGAACTCATGCAATCTCCAAATGCCTTAGTATTACAAGAGCTCAAAATGGTGGCTGCAGTCATACTGTATGACCGCCAGAGCATGAGTAAACATATGGTGTTAGAAATAAGATGACATCTGCAGCTGAGAAAATTTCTTACTTAAAAATCAAGGTTATCTCTATGATCCAGAAACATCTTTTATTGTGATATAATAATTATGCACAAGCTATAACTAAGAGAAAATGTGAACCTTCTTAGTTGGACTACTTTTCTCTACAGCTTGGTTTTCTAGACTTTTTTGTGTCTCAGATTCTTCCTATTCAGGCAGTGTAGAGCAACTACAAGTTTCTGTCAGGCCCAATAATTACCAGTGGCCATCTAGGCAGGACCAAAGATCCCAAGGCCCCATCCCAAAACACTTGCTTTCACTTTCCAGTTTAAAAAAGAAATGGAGAGGAACATTGCTGAGTCTCTTAAGTCTCTTGGTATTACCTTAGAATCTGAGCTCAAATGAATTATTTCATTTATATACTAGAACAATGCCTCATGTTGAATTTTATTAAACCTTAATACACTAATAGTTGACAAATAAGAAATCCTAAATCTCAGGAGAAGGAAAATCTATGGAACTCGAGGCAATTTACCTGTAAGTACTGGTAAAAGGAGAACTGAAGAAATTTGAGCTTTCAGGCCCTCTTAGGCCACACTAGTGGTCTTCAACCAAACATTCAAGAATTAATTATTCACTTATCAATTATTCACATATACCAGACACAGGGATACCAAAAAACACATACAAAATTGGCAAAAAAAAAAAAAAAAATCTACAACAACAACAATAACAATTACTACTACATAACAGTTATGGTCTCTACCTATATCACTTATTGACCAATAGGCCAGTAGGGAAAGTAGCTCAAAGAATCACTAAAAAAAAAAAAAAAAAAAAAAAAAAAAAGGTAAAATTGAAAGCTAGTGTCATGAAACCAGAAGCACTTGCTCTGGTCAAGGCAGTCAGGAAAGGCTTCCCCGAGGAAGTGATATTTAAGTTAAGGTACTAATAAATGACCCTAAATATTATAAGGAAGAGGAGCAGAAATAATCAGCAGAATTACAGTCAGGGAGGGATTGAGAGTGAGGCATGCAGAGAGCATCCTGATGGAAGAAACACTAGGAACAAAGACCTTGGGGAAGGGCAGAGTTTCATACACTTGAGGAACCAAAAAGTGACCGTTGTGTCAGGAGCAGTGAAGAGTTGGGGGTCGGGTAAGCAGGTGGGGAGAACACTGGTGTGAAGTGAGAATGGAGGGAAGGCTGGTAACAGACCATGTAGGGACTTCCAGTATTTTAATCTATATTAATAGTAATGGGAAGCCAGTAAATATTAAAACCATGAAGTGATATGACTGGATTTATGGTTTGAAAAGATCACTCTGTCTGAAGTGTGGAGAAGCAAGCAAGAATGGTTTAGAGTTAGAACAAATGGCTCTTGAAGTGTGGTGCCTGGACCCCCGGAATCAGCATCACTTGGGAACTTATTAGAAATGCATATTTCAAATTCTACTCCAGACACATTGAATCAGAAAATCTACAGGTGGATTAATAATCTGTTTTAAAAACCATTTCAGATGATTCTACTGTAAAGTTTGAGAATCAATGGGTTAGACTACATTTTGATCACAATGTATGATGAATCAATTTTAAATTTCAGCCATTCTAATGGCAAATTGGTGACTACAAATATTGGTATTCTTACCTCTTTTATTTTTTCCTTACAAATCTTATACTGCTTCTTCTGACTTTCTAAGAAAGTTGTCAAATCTTTCTTCTGCTGGGCCAAGATCTGTTGCTGGAACTTCTTCTCATCTGCTGCAGCTACCTTTGCCTGCAAAAAATACCAAATATGATCTTGGAGGACTTGTTCTTCACACAGAACTTAGCCATATATGTTCTCTAATGCATTGAAAGAATCCATAAATGTTGAATAATGTAATTTTTGAACAAATTGTTAATTAAACAAAATACGGAAATGCCTATTCTGATTTCCCTGTATCTTCAACAAACATTTTATGGGGAAAAAATATGAAGAAAAACCACAAACACATACATGAAAATACATGGGATGAAAGGTAAACTAACAATGATTATAATAATTTTTTTCATATTGTTGATAGCTGAAGGGTTATATTATATAGATGGATAAACATAACTGACCAGTTTTATTCCAAGAATCTAACTTTAATTGATTAATTATTGCAACTACCAGGCTTCACATCTAGTGTACTAAGCAAAGCTGATGACATGTGATTTCTTAGGTTCCTGTTAGAATTCACAACAGTTAGACACTAGGACATTTGGGGGCTCCTTAGTGGATTGAATGCTGACCAAATAAAAGATAACCCAATAAATATTGGTTCCTGAGAATGACCAAATCTAAGTGTTAGGGAACCATTCAATGAAGCACTTAGGTAGATAAGGTGCTTAAGAATCATGCTTCATGGTTCTTTTTAATATATATATATTTTATCTAATATTTAGCATCTATGAACAACCATTCTTCCATTATGAACAATCCTCCCTACATATTTACCAAATCAAATTCCCAAGAAAGAATCTGACTGGTTTATTTAATCAACATCCATGAGACCTTCTTGGGGGAATGCTTCTTCTATAATTCTGATGTTTCCTTTCATGTGGAGAGAGAGTCTAATTACTGAAACACCCCTGGCCTCTTGTCCCCAGTCACTTCATCCCCACAGAACACATGTTCACCCTGCTTTTCCACA